TCCTCAGGAGAGGAGGGAGGGAGCAGCCCGATCCTTGGGTTTAGAGACAGAAGCACATTCAACTCAGCCTCTTCCTCCCAGGCTTTGGAAGTCACCTATTTGACCCTTGTACTCCCAGGTCCTCAGCACTGGGAGTCTTACAGACACATTCCCTTATGGGAGAGGAGTTATCTTAGGGGAACAGAGAAAAATTAACTCTGGGGACTGTGCTTGCAAAACACACAACAGGAGAGAGCACCCCAAGGCGGAGGTTCAAATCTGCCCCAGGATATCCTTTCCTCTAACCCCACTGAGTGCTTCCTACCTCATCCTCAGGTTCCTCCATCCTTCTGCTTTCGCTCACATTCATGGGTGACCCTGAAACTACCTTCTAAACCCCACCTGTTCCCCCCCTCACCTGAGGCTTCTCAGATGCTGCCCCCAGCTGTGACCACTCTTACTCCTGAAATTGCCTCTATTCCTTCTCTCTTCCAAACTTCTAGCCTTTATCACTCTGTACTTATACAGACATTATCACATTAAATGTCATTCTGAGCTTCAGGACTGTCAATAACTGAACCCCATCCATCTGCAAATCCTTCCCTGCTGGTCTAAGATAGCAAACATTTACTGAGAACTTCCTATGAGCTAGATTCATTCTCTTGCTAGCTTTCCTATTAAGTGGGGCCAGACACCCCCCTGTAGGCAGAACAGAGTCCCTGGCCAGAAAGGCTCCTCATTCTAAGCGCAGGTAACAGGAAGGCCTGCGGAGACTACGTCCAGTTTAAAACTTTCAAAGCTGAGTGTTCCGCCTTCACCTGCACTGTCCTTGGGTTTAAAGAGAAAAAGAATTCCCACCCACAGAAAAACCAAACCAACAACAGAAGGTGGAGAAAATAAAAGTCCCGTTGGTCACTGCCCCCCCCCCAAGGGCATAAACTTCTCATGGGAACAGTCTCCCCATCCTTGTTCTGAGAACAGAGGTCCAGATGACTGTGGTTTTGTCACTCGATGAATAACAAGCCCTGAAGATTGCTAGAATGACAAGGCCCAGACCAGATCCACTCAGATACAGCTGGAAGCTTTCTAGTAACGCTAACCGTGCATGGGGAATGAGCCGCACAGAGAAGTGAGTCACTTACTGGAATCCGCGCTGCCTGCCTTACTCAGCTGATAGTAATACACCCACTTGTTCATTAAAGTTTAATTGGAGTTCATGTGAATTGGTTTCACCAGATACTTAATCAAAGAGAACTGTTTGTGTATGAACTGTTCACACTGCCAAGCTAGAAAGCACAAGGCCCCTCCCGGGGCCAACCCAAGTCTACGGGTGGCTCTTTGGACTCTGTGCACACCGTAAGTTAGTCACACAGGGTGGGACAATGACCTGGAGGTAGGGGAGGGAAAAGGCTGCCCTGACTCAAAGGCAAAGCAAGAGTAAGTGAAAACTACATGGCGAAGCACCAGCCGAAGTGCTGGAATTCATCAGCTATAGCGAGGAATCAGTCAAAACTCAAATGCCAACTTGCAAACAGGAAGGTGTTCCTCCCAGCTCCTCTCGGGAGTTCATTATAAAAGCTTCAGGTCTCTTTGGTTTTCTTCCACGAGCACCTGTCTCCCAGCCATATATCTTTATTTTTTAAATGGATGGATAAGGAAATTAACCATCATTCAACATAATCACACATTGCTCTTGTGCTGACAAGCAAGCCATGAACAGGATCCCAAACGCCTATTTATGCAATCAGGGCTGTCAGTACCCTGCTATTGCTTATCGGATATCTCACTAATCAACATCTCAGGAAGTATAAAGTTTTCAAGCCCCTAGGAAAGACTGTACAGAAAGTGGGGGGCTATGTATTTCAAGCTTGGTGGCTCTGGTGATAGGATCAATTTTCCCTTAATTGTGTTTATCATTGTTAGGTTCATATTGCTTCTTTACCTGAAACAAATCAAGATGAGTTTAAAATGTGGCTACAGATAAAGTATTTTAATTTCCTAAAGTATTTTTCAAAGACTATATTTGGCTTTGGGTTGTTTTCAGCAACTTTGATTGTTAGTTTGTCTGTCTGGTTTTTTAAAAAAACAAGGCCCTTGCTACAGTCACCAGGCTGGCTTCGAACTCTGCAGTCCTCCTGCCTCAGGCTCCCAAGAACAAGGATGACATATAAGCACTACCACACCTACCTTATTTTTTGGTTTTGTTTTGCTTTCTTTTCTTTCGTTTTGTTTAATGCTGGGAATCAAACTCAGGATCTTACACGCAACAGCCTCTAGACAAGTACTTTACTACTGATATATATCTCCAGCCAGACTGTAGGTAAAGACCACTTGTGTTTTCTTAATGTCTTATTGAGATATGAGTCACACACAACAGAATTCACCTATTTAAAGTCCAAATAGAGCATATTCACAGAGCTGTACGACCACCACTACAACCTGACTTAGCAGTGTTTTCTCCATTCCCCAAAGAAATCTAGGCCCACAGCACTATTCCCGCCCCCCAACGCAGGGAGCAGGCCCTAATTTACTGTCTCCACAAACGTCATAGATTGGCCTGTGGCAGTCTTTTCATATAAATGGCATCACTCAAGACGGGGCCTTTTGTGACCAGCTTCTTTCACTTGGTGTGCCTACAAGGTTTTGCGAAGCTGTAGCATCTGCTGATATTTAGTTCCTTTTTATTGCTGGGAAATATTCCACTTCAAAGATACTCATTTTTCTTTTCAAGAAAACTTTTACTTTTAAAAAATAAAAGAAGCTCTCTTCGATAAGAAACCGGGTTGCCTGGTGCTCAGCTGCCCAGCCTCCCCTTTCTCCCCTCGGCAGTCATCAGGACCACGCCAGGACCCCTGTGAGGAAGGAAGGCAATGCGCTCAGGGTACTCCGGAGTGAGGGGGGTGGCAGGCAGCAGAGCCTCCGTGTGCATAAAGCTCGCCGCCAGGCTCAGGAGGGCGTCACTCAGCAGGCAAAGAACTTTCACTAACGTGGTATAAGCGGAATGGGAGTCTCCTGCAGAATGAGCCGTGCACAGTGTTGGGGCAACAAGCTCTGGAAAACACGGAAGGAGCAACATCCGCAGCCATTTTTCTGTGAAGAGAAACTTCCATCTCGGCTTCTTAAGGCATGAAACCCAACTAACTACTAAACAGTAAATGTCGACTATGGGCCGCGCTCCGCCATGGTGATTCAGACAGGACACCTGCCTTCTAGGTGTTCAAACTGCAGCACAGGGGCACGCGGAACAAGACAGTGCCAGGATGAACAGAATTAAGGGTGTGACAGATACTCAAAGAAGAACGTCTTCCACTTTGTGCATCTCGCCTACCACATCAGTGATTTCATTTCTGACCTGGTTTTCAGAAGTGGAGCCAATTATTACATGTTAAAGGGAGACAGTCCACAGACTCCCATGGGTACACAGAACACATAGGTATATATAAAAAAAAATACAAGGTGATCTGCGTCTAGGGCATAAATCACACTAATAACACGACCAGACGATGCAGACCTCAAAGGAAACCATCAAAAATGGAAAGTTCAGGGTCAAGGGAGTGAGCTGTAAAACAGACACGCAGCGTGCCTCCTTCCAAGGCAGGGTTTTCAAGGCACTGTCAGGACACTCGCCAGACACTCGGACGTGCAGCCTGAGAGTCAGGTAGTGCTGAGGGAGAACACATCTGTCAGCTGACCCATCTGCTGGCATGTGGGGCTCCAACACAACCCACGGCTTATTCAGTGCCAGGTGTCTCAGCGGCCCCAAGACGTTCGCTAAAGACAACTGAATCCTGTCTATGTGGCATGCAAGAACAATACAGAGTCTTGAGTCATGAAGAAGCTGAAGCCATTCTTCAGCTCCTCTCTTCTGTATTCCAGGGACACACCCAGACTCTCAGAAAAGGGATTTTGAGGTTGGAACTAGATACTGAAATTATGTTTCTGTTTGAGTTTTGTGTTGTGATTTTGGATTTGTGTGTGTGTGTGTGTGTGTGTGTGTGTGCATTCAGATATAAAGATTTCCTTGGATCCAATTTATGAAACACATTATATTCTCAAGTAAGTCTAAAATAGTTAATATGCTTAATGAACTTCTTTCATTTACCACTTCTGCCAGCGTGAGCTTCTCAGAAAGGCGTTCATCCAGTTTTGCATCAACACAAGTGCCCCTCTTTAAATTCATAGAGCAAGTTTGAAACATCCTGTTTCCTAATTACCTCATGCATAAAAGGAATGTTACCTTCACCTCTCTGTTCATTAAAGCAAGTTTCAGGAAATACTTTGACATTTTGAGCTTTTGAAAAATACACGCTGGTTTAACAGTAAGTCCTAGAGATTCATTGCTGTTTATACTTTGGTAGAAACGAGTTAATGGCAAATTATAGCTGCTTTTTAACCAATCCATTTGAAGAAGAACAATACAAGCAAACATTTTGAAGGTAAACTGCAAATCTCTATAGCCTGGGTAGTGCTCGGTAGGAAGGATCTCGCTACACTCAAATCAAGGCGGTAAAGCAGAAAGCTCCCTCATGTTAAATGTTCTGGGTTTGGGTCCTTTGCTGCTATGAAACTCACTGCACCTCTCTAAGTCTCACTTACCGCATCCCTAGAAGAGCACTGAGGGTAAACCCTGCCCTCCCCTCCTCCTAGTGTCATGCAAAGGAACACAAAGATGTGAAGGTGGTTTGAAAACTCAAATACCCCATACAGAACATATGGTATCATAATGTTTTTTTATGTCTTATGAAAACATTTCTGAATGACATGAACAAGTACTTTTCTTTTTCTGTTTCTGTTTTGAATAAGCCAAAGAAAAGTCCCCCAAATCCATACTACCAATTCCTGGAAGTTTCACACAAACTTTCGTAAAAGTAAGTGATGTTGAGTAATCCCAATGAAGTGCAAGATCCTGAAGAACTCCTCAACTGAGCACTCATCTCGGCAATACAGCCTTAAAATTAAACATCGCCAGTATATTCCTGCTCTTTGAAGGTGGACAAAATACATAATTCAAACTATATTACCTTTGAAGAAGCAGTAGGTCGCCCACGTTCCCACCACCTTCTGGGGTTACCACAAGGGTCCAGGGAAAATGTGGTCCAACACAGCAGTGGTTTCTGAACAGGAAAGAAATGGGAAACAGCTTTAAGGCTAAGAGCCAGGCCTGTGCACACAACAAAAGTGAATGCGACTGTAAGGCTGTTTTTGTCCAACAAACTGAACCCTGGTTGGCCCCATGTGCCTCCCAGGAAGTTCCTACCTGCCTGGTGTTTAGCCCAAGCAGGGAGTTGATCCAGAAGGCACGTGCATTCCATGTCCCCAACCTTCTTTGTCCTCTCAGGTTTACTTTCCCAAACATTTTATGCAGACAAGAAAAGGTCAAAGACAGAGAAGACAGGCACTCTCACAAGGTCAGTAACGACTGCGTAAAGGCAACTCCTATACCATAGGCTAAGCCTGTTCACTGTTCTTCAGTGAATAAATGGTTCCAAAGGGAACACATTGTACCTGCCCTATTGCATCGCTGTGCCGAGATACAATGCACAATGGAAGAACGGTAAGAACCAACACCCACAAAAGCCTGCTGCGGAGTACGGCCTGTTCTGTGCACACACGAACTATGCATCCCTTGTAATGACCGCATGAAGTACATTTCCTCACACCAGCAGAAACTGAAGCACAGAGATAAAGTTATTTGTCCAAGACTGTATGATATTGCGTAGGAGAACAGATGGAAACACAGGCAGTGTAGCCTACCCCTATGGCTGTCTCTAACCAGTGTACCAAACTGCCTCTTCCTGCACACTTCCAAGTTGGACTGAGGACGGGAGCCCCAGTCCCAGAAGAGGTCAAATATACCATCCAGTTGATTTTTATAATGACACTGGGAGAGAGATTTTGTTATCCTCCATCCAAGGAGGGTACTGAAATCCTAAGTCATTTCACTGAGGGTTTTGCAAACACCAAAAAGAACCCTTGGATTTGAATATCTGTCCAGTTTCAGGTTCGGGGGTCTCTGTGGACATCATCACCACCGCCTGTCTACCCAGGCACCTCATTCCTGGTTTTTCTGTCAGATTGTGCAGTGGAAAGAGCGTGTTCTTGGGAGACCAATGGGGCTCTATTACCAACCGGTGCCTTAAACAAGTTACTGAGCCTGTCCGTGCCTCAGTTTCCCCACCAAAAGAATGGGAACAATAACTGCAGTACCAGCCATTATCTCTTAGGATTCTCACACAAAATGAATGTGATGATCTAGTTAACAGGCAACAATATCTGCCACATAATAGATGGTCCATAAATGTTTATTGAACGAGTAATGGAGTGAAAGGTGAAAACTAAATGACATAAGAAAAATTCTTACCAGTTTTTATAATAGCTGATAAAAAAAAAAAACTGTTAACTTATAATTATATCTAGCCAAGCTGTTAGAACATGTCTTGAGACTCGCACTCCCCTCTGGCTTGATCTGTAAACTCCACAGTAGCCAGCACATAGCCTCACAAGTTAGAGGTGTTCAAAAACAATGATTATATGATCTTTCTCTAAACTTACTAGGGAAACAAAGTTTAAGGTGATAGGGAGGAAAAAAAAATCTCTCAAAGTTTAGTAGTCTCCATTGTCCATTTCATCCAAAATTTATCTTCAATTTGAAAATCATTATCCATAAGTGAAGTCTTAAAGCATGTAAGAAGTCTAAATTTAATGTTCTATTTATTTCAGATATATTTCTTTTTTTTCTCAAGAAAAAAACATGATATTCCAATCGCCACAATTTTAAATTTTTCTATAGACTTCTCTGAAGACTGACACACTGCTTATGAAATCATTTATGTTAGACCAGGTCCTTCATAGATGGTAATCATAAGTACAGTTTAGATTCAGTCACTAGGGGTGGGAGGAGAAAAGAGACAGATACAGAAAAAGGAAGGGAGGGAGGGAGGGAGGGACAGAGGGAAGGACAGAGAAACTGAGGGAGAGAGGGAGAGAGAGAAATGGAGAGAGAGACAGAGGGAGACAGAGGGA